TATAATAGTGTTCTCTCATCACTTTTTTTTTTCAGGCATTTCCAAGTTAGAAACAAGCAAGAGCTTGTTCATTTTTTCACATGGACTTTAGAATCAATTGTGTGTTGCTGAAGAAAATTCTGTTGCTATTTTTTACTGGGATTATTAGTTACAGATAAATTTAGAAATAATATTGTTCTGATGCTGAATCCACACAAGTGAACTCTGCTTTGGAGACTCTTTCCATAAAGTGAGTTAATCTTTTGTGACCCCTGAAGCAATGTAACTATTCTTCACGTAGGGTCTTGCATGTATCTTGTTAATTTCTGGGTATTTGTCTTTCTGAGTATTTGTTTCTATTGTAAGTATATAATCTTTCCTTCCACTATTCTAATTCTAGTTTGTACATAAGAAAACTATTGGTTTCTGTATGTTAATTTGGAATCACTCCCCTTACAGAATTCTTTTACTATTTATTCTAGTTTAGTTTTTTTTTTTAAGCTGAATCTGTAGGGATTTCCAAAAGTGAAATCTTTTTATCTACAAATAGGATAATTAAACCCCCGCTTTCCAGTGTTTATATTTTGCTTTTCTTTATCCAGCTGCAGTGGGAAATGATGGTAGGAGGGCTGACATGCTTGTCTGGTTCTCTTCTCTGATTGCTTCCTATGTTTCTTGACTGTTCTTGCCAACTATTCCAAGCAAAAGATAGAAAAAGCTTTTGCACACTACTATGTATTATAACACTGACTTGTTTTTTTAAAGGAGGCCTAGTAAGAACTTAAATTACTAACAACAGAAAAGTTGAGGAGATTATAGTTCAAGGGGCTTCCCTGATGGCTCAGATGGTAAAGAATGTGCCTGCAATGTGGGAGATCCAGATTCGATCCCTGCGTTGGGAAGATCCCCTGGGAGAAGGAAATGGCTACCCACTCCAGTATTCTTGTCTGGAGAATCCCATGGACAGAAGAGCCTGGAGAGCTACAGTCCATGGAGTCACAAAGAGTCAGACACAACTGAGGAACTAACGCTTTCAGAGTATCACAAAGAATAACAACATGGAAATGATAATGTATAAAATCATTTGTGGGTTTCCCTGGTGGCTTGGCTGGTAAACAATTTGCCTGCAATCCAGGAGACCTGGGTTCGATCCCTGGGTTGGGAAGATACCCTGAAGAAGGGAATAGCTATCCACTCCAGTACTCTGACCTGGAGAATTTCATGGGCTGTATAGTCCATGGGGTTGCAAAGAGTCAGACACAACTGAGCGACTTTCACTTTCAAAATTATTTGTAAAAAGCAGTATCTAAAACTTGTAGATATAGTATATTTATAACTATCTGAAAAATATCTGAAAAGTGGCAATAAAAAGAAAAAGAACTTTACTAATATGTGATTAACAGTGATTGTCACTAGGTAACAAGATTAAAAGTGATCGCTTTTCCTAATTTTTCTCTTTTCCAATTTCACATAATGAGCTGACAAAGATTCGATCCCTGCGTTGGGAAGATCCCCTGGGAGAAGGAAATGGCTACCCACTCCAGTATTCTTGTCTGGAGAATCCCATGGACAGAAGAGCCTGGAGAACTACAGTCCATGGAGTCACAAAGAGTCAGACACAACTGAGGAACTAACGCTTTCAGAGTATCACAAAGAATAACAACATGGAAATGATAATGTATAAAATCATTTGTGGGTTTCCCTGGTGGCTTGGCTGGTAAACAATTTGCCTGCAATCCAGGAGACCTGGGTTCGATCCCTGGGTTGGGAAGATACCCTGAAGAAGGGAATAGCTATCCACTCCAGTACTCTGACCTGGAGAATTTCATGGGCTGTATAGTCCATGGGGTTGCAAAGAGTCAGACACAACTGAGCGACTTTCACTTTCAAAATTATTTGTAAAAAGCAGTATCTAAAACTTGTAGATATAGTATATTTATAACTATCTGAAAAATATCTGAAAAGTGGCAATAAAAAGAAAAAGAACTTTACTAATATGTGATTAACAGTGATTGTCACTAGGTAACAAGATTAAAAGTGATCGCTTTTCCTAATTTTTCTCTTTTCCAATTTCACATAATGAGCTGACAATATGTCATAGTGGGAGAAGGAGTTTTATTTTAAAATTTTGTAAACAAATTTAATGATTAAAAGCATAATTGGAAGCCAGCCCCTTTGGGCACAGCTTGACATTAATCTGCAGTTGAACTACTCCAAAGGGGCAGATGAACCCTAAAGGGTGAATTCTGGGCAACATTGGCACTACATCTTTTGTCTTTCTAATGTGAGCAATAGGGAGCAGCTGTTAATACAGATGAAGCTCTGCTTGCTCTCCCACTGCTCACCTCCTGCTGTGAGGCCCAGTTCCTAACAGGCCAGGGACAGGTAATGGTCCATGAGCCCAGGGACTGGGGATCCCTGTTCTTGGCTACTTTGCAGGGAAGCTCAAAAATCCCAATCCTCAACAAATGTGTGCGCTTTTGCCTAAAACCACAAGATCTGAGAAAGTCCTGGGACTCTGCTCCTCCCTCAGGTTTGAAGCTGCCTGGTCTCCTCTGTGAGAAAGCACATCTCATACTAGTATGGTGTCAGATGGATCAAAAACCAATTGCTTCAAGGAAATCCCTTCTATTCCTCCTATTTACTTGCATCTATAAAAAATGTGAAGAGGTACAGAAATTATGCCAAACATTGTCTCACTCTGTTAGAACAGGCAGATAGAAATGAGCAGACAAAGGAGGGACATAGGCCAAATGGCAGGAAGCCACACATCCTGTAAACAATGAGGGTCCTTGGGCAAACAAAGAAAAGCAAGAACCTCCAGACTGACAGGAAACCACACATTCTGGGGTGATAAGTGTAAGCAGATAAAGCTGGGAATCTCTAGGGTCCAAATGTAACCTGTTTCTCATTATGCCTTCATTACAATAAAATTAGCCTTACAAGTAAGAAGTTCCCATCATGCACCTATGCCATGACACTTCTGATCAAGGCTTCTGCATGCATGCATACGAAATTGCTTCAGTCATGTCCAACTCTTTGGGACCCTGTGGACTGTGGCCCACCAGACTCCTCTGTCCATGGGATTCTCCAGGCAAGAATACTGGAGTGAGTTCTGATCAAGGCTAAATAAGGACAAAAATCCCTCCTTCCCCTCTGGAAGATGGAGCTGTGATGAAAATCAGGAAATATGACCCTAAACCCCTTTCTCCCCAATGAATAGTCTGTCCATTCATTTTGCCACCCCATATCATGAGCTTACTAAAGAAACTCGACAGATACTCACCTAAGTCTGCCCACGCTTCCTTTGAGCATGTACTGTGGCTTTGGCTCAGATGGTGAAGTATCTGCCTGCAACACAGGAAACTGGGGTTTGATCCTGGGTTGGGAAGATCCCCTGGATGAAGGGAATGGCTACCCATTCTCCAGTATTCTTGCCTGGAGAATTTCGTGGACAGAGGAACCTGGTGGACTACAGTCCATGTGGTTGCAAGAGCCTGGCACTCTATGGCTTAAATCCCTGCTTTGCTTTCTTGACCTCCTTATCTCATCTCTGAACATTTTCTTCCAAAGGCAAGAAACTACTCTCCCATAACAACTCTAGATAAGTAAAATCCATCCAATTAATTTTCATATATCATTGAATTGTTTAAAAATCCACCTTTAGGGTTTCCCTGGTGGCTCAGTGGTAAAGAATTTGCCTGCCAACATAGGAGATATGGTTCAATCCCAGGTCTGAGAGGATCCCACATGCCAGGGAGCAACTAAGTCCATGTGCCACAACTATTGAGTCTGTGCTCTGGAGCCTGGACCCACGCACCGCCAGCTACTAAAGCCCGCTCGCCTTAGAGCCCATTCTCCACAAGAGAAGACACCGAAATGAGAAAACCCGGGATTGCAACGAGAGTAGCCCTGGCTCCCTGCAACTAAAGCAAAGCCCAGGAAGAAAAGAAGATGGAGCACAGACAAAAAAAGCATTTCACTTGTCCAAGAATTGATAGTAGTATTTTGAATATGTATACTTTTATTAATAATCCAGAAAATATTTAGCACGAGAAAAATTGTAAATTTCTAATTTTGTTAAGGAAATGCACGATAGGGTGAACAATAAAACTTGCATAAAACTTTATACAATTGGATCGAATTCAATGATGTACATAGAATGAAAATATTTTAGATTAGGATAAAAACTCTGAGAGACATAAAAATACAAGTTCGAGGAGAAAAACCAAAAAGCTGTAAAATTTCTGATCGTTTAAAGTGGATGATAGTATCAAGTCATGTGTTTAGAGGCCCACGGATGCCTCTTAAAGAACGGAAAGCAGTTTTGTGTGTGTCAGTATTCCCAATGTGGCCTCAAAAATGCCTTCTGTAATTACTTAAACTCAAGATAAAAGGTATTTAGATGTTACTGCAAAAAGAAAGCATCGCTTTTCAGTCATCTCAAGCTGGGGTTTCAGGAGCCGACATCAGGGGTCACTGCCCGGCTTGAGCCACTGAAGGGTTGGGATCAGGTTTGATTCAGGGCTGCCCAGCCGGTAGCGGGTCTCTGTGGGTAGCACTCTGGCCACCGCGCCAGCCCCTCGAACATAGTCGGGCGCCTAAGGCCCCTGTGCTCCTCCGCCCTCCCTCCCCGCGGTACGTGAAGTATCCCCTGTGTACTTGAACCGACTTAGCTTCAAGCACAGAGGTTCCTTAGGTGTTTTTTTCTACCGAATCACACGTTTGCTTTATTGTCCGCCCTACGCCGCAAGTTGAAGTTCTAGAAAACTGTAACCTTCGTGGGTTCGTCCCCAACGCGCGCCACGATGAGCGCTTCACATTAATTTATAAATTAAATATATATGTTATAAATATATGTTATCTATATGTAACTGTAACGGAACAGTCCTCTCCAGCCGCGGACGCCTTCGCAGAGTGCCACTGGTCACGTGCCCGGAAAAGGCGCTATCATCGAGTCAGTCCTCCAGCCTCGTAGAGAGGACTCGGAAGTGCCCCGTAGCGGGCCTGGGTTTTTCCGGCCGGGCCGTCCGCGCTTTTGTCCCGCCGGCGGCCGGGCTCCCGCGGCGCCGCCACAGCCAGTACGTGAGTCCGCGGCCGCCCGCGCTCCCGTCCTCGGCCCTAACCTGCCACGCCCTTCCCTTGGCCGGGTCTCGGCTATTCCTCGGGTCTTGGGCGGGATCGGGGAGGAAGCGCGCCCCCTCCCTACACACACCTTAGGAAGCGCACTGGGGAAGTAGAGGGGAGGGAAGCCCTCGGGTCGGCCGAGAGGTGTCGGGCCCACCCCTGGAACATATCGGGTTCCTTGTGGGCCCCAACTTCGGCTGTCCGAGCGGGCCAGGGCTGAGGTGGGGCTGCCAGGTGTGTGGAGAAGGGCTGGGGCCCGCATACCCGTGTTTCTCAGCTCTTCGCTGCTGTCTCGGGCCAAAGGGGAACCCAGAAAATCAGTGCTTTAAGGAAAGCCCCCAGTTCTGCGCCCGTGGCAGTTATGTTTGTCCCTGGGATTTGAGAGTGAATACGAGCTTTGGAAGGATCCCGAGGGGTACTGTTATTTGACCTCCCCGCCCCACACCTTTTTTGTTTTGTTTGATGGGGCCGTGATGTTGAGAGACTCCTGCCGCAGGTGTTGATCGAACCGCTGGGAGACGCTGCCCGGCCTTCGCCCTAGGAGAGCTCACCTTCTGTACAGACAAGGGATCTGGGAAGAGGCTGTCTGTCGCTGCCTCTCACAATGAGAAGGAATTGACTAGGTAGGGAGAAATAGGTCGAGGAGGCTCCTAGGGAATCCAGGCCTGGGGATGTGAAAGAAGAATCGAAGGCCGGGGCTGGGTGTGCTGCTCTAAGACGTTTGGACTAGGAGGCCACCAGAAGTGTTTCCTTTTTGAAAGCAGGAGGGTTTTTCCTTAAATAAGTTTTTGACTATGTAATGTATTCATATGGTTCAGGTATTAAAAATGTGAAAAGATATCAATGAAAAGATCTCCCTCTGTTCAGCTGTCTTTCTAGGCTCAATCCCTTTAGAAAACCAACCACATTTGATAGATAATTTGAATGTATACAGTTTCTTAAACATATTGGCAAATTTGAATGTACTTAGTCCCTCCTTTTTTTCACACAGGTGATAAGGTACTTTTCAGAATTCTGCACCTTGCTTCTTTTGCTTAATCTATGTTAGAGGTCATCAGAACACAAAGCTTTTTTTTTTTTTTCTTTATTTTTTTAAATACAGCGCTGCAATATTGAAGTGTCATGGCTGTTGTTTGGATGTTTTTGTTGTTGTTCAGTCACTCATTGTTGTCTGACTCTTTGTGACCCCATGGACTGCAGCATGCCAGGCTTCCCTGTCCTTCACCATCTCTGGAGCATGCTCAAACTTATGTCCATTGAATCAGTGATGCCATCCAACCATCTCATCCTCCGTCATCCTCTTCTCCTCCTGCCTTCAATCTTCCCCAGCATCAGGGTCTTTTTTAATGAGTTGACTCTTTCCATCAGAGGGCCAAAGTATTGGAGCTTTAACATCAGTCCTTTCAATGAATATTCAGGACTGATTTCCTTTAGGATTGACTGGTTTGATCTTGCAGTCCGAGGGATTCTCAAGAGTCTTCTTCAACACCACAGTTCAAAAGTAGCAGTTCTTCTGCATTCAGCCTTCATGATCCAGCTCTCACATCCATACATGACTACTGGAAAGCCCATAGCTTTGACTAGATGGACCTTTGTCAGCAAAGTAATGTCTCTGCTTTTTAATATGCTGTCTAGGTTTCTCATAGTTTTTCTTCCAAGGAGCAATCATCTTTTAATTTTATGGCTTGCAGTCACCATCTGCAGTGATTTTGGAGCCCAAGAAGATAAAAGTCTGTCACTGTTTCCATTGTTTCCCCATCTTTTTGCCATGAAATGATGGGATTGGATGCCATAATCTTTGTTTTTTGAAAGTTGAACTTTAAGCCAGCTTTTTACTCTCCTCTTTCACTTTCATCAAGAGACTCTTTAGTTCCTCTTCATTTTCTGCCATAAGGGTGGTGTCATCTGTGTATCTGAGATTATTGGTATGTCTCTCAACAATCTTGATTCCAGCTTCTGGTTTATCCAGCCCAGTATTTCACATGATGTACTTTGCATATAAGTTAAATAAGCAGGATGACAATATACAGTCTTGATATACTCCTTTCCCATTTTTGAACTAGTCCCTTGTTCCATGTCCAGTTCTAACTTGCTTCTTGACCTGCAGATTTCTCAGGAGGCAGGTCAGGTGGTCTGCTTTTCCCATCTCTTGAAGAATTTTCCAGTTTGTTGTGATCCACACAGTCAAAGGCTTTAGCATAGTCAAAGGCACATAGTATAGTGAAGCAGAAGTAGATGTTTTTCTGGAATTTCCTTTTTCTATGATCTAACAGATGTTGGCAGTTTGATCTCTGGTTCCTCTGCCTTTTCTAAATCAAGCTTGAACATCTGGAAGTTCTCAGTTCACACACTGTTGAAGTCTAACTTGGAGAATTTTGAGCATTACTTTGCTAGCGTGTGAAATGAGTGCAGTTGTGTGGTAGTGTGAACATTCTTTGTCATTGCCTTTCTTTGGGATTGGAATGAAAACTGACCTTTTCCAGTCCTGTGGCCTTGGATGTTTTGGATGTACCATCATTTTTTAAGATCTAGTAAGGCCATTCGGGTTGTTTCCAGTTTCTTTGTTACTTCAAACTACAGCACACCCAGTGACTTTGTCCCAGGGCATATCTGAGCAAGAATTTTTAAAGAAGGGATTGACAATTCATAGAGTGTTTGAAGAACAAACCAGTTTTTCTCTCCTGATACTTGTGTTTATGATACTTAGCCTTACAGTAGCCCAAACAACTGTCTATTAATGACACTCTTCAAGCCAGTCTTGCCCCTTTAGCTTCAGAAAATCTCTCAGTCCCCCTTTCAAAATCTCCTTTGCTTACCTTATTCCTTAGAATGACTAGGGTTTTCTTCTCCACTACTAGGTATGAGAATGTTCTATTTCATTTTTTACTTTAAGGAAAAAATTACCCTTAATCACAAGGATTAAGCAGTAGAACCAACTTATGTTAACCATTTACAATTCTAATAAACTAAATGCAATAACCAAAGCAGAAACCATACTTTCTTCCCATCTGCTTAACACTTTTCTCACATACTCCTTAGTCTCATCTTTGATTTGTCCTATCCTTTCACTTCTTCTGAGTCTGTAAGCATTTTGTCCTCATATTCACTCTGATTTTCTCTTTTTCTTCCTCTTGTTGGTCACTTCCAAGTCCAGTATAATATCCAACAACTTAAGATACAGAATCCAGATGGTAGATTGATTTGTGGAATGTGGTTGGTACTCTGAAAATCCTCAGTAGCTCCAGATGTGTTGTACATGTTGCTTGTTGAAGTTTGTTAAGGTGGAATTTTCAGCCATAGTAAGCCACAGTTCCTCTCTTCGGAGTTGTCTAGTCTCTTGAGAAGTGGCTCCTGACTTTCCTGTGCAGGGATAGCAAAAATTAAGGACAGATTCTTAACTCTCTTCATGAGCTTTTCCAGGCATTGGTGGCAGAACATGAATAATGTGAAGCACAGAAGTACCCAGATGACATGGGTTCTATGTAATTTAGAAGGAGTGGATGGCTTACTATTGCTGAAACTTAACTGATATAACTAGGCTATATGGATATTACCAGTTTTCACTCTGTTGAGAACTCATTAGAGAGGAGGTCCCCTTTAGCCTTGAGAACTTTTAAGAAATTAAACCCATCTGGCCCTCTTTCTGTGTAGGAATTGTGCTTTTGAAGTGATTCCTTTCTTGTGTCATAGAGGACATATGAGCTAGTCACCACATCAGTATTGATTGGATTATAATAATCTTCCAGACTGTAGTACTCAGTTCTCTCTCCTCCTCAATCCATTCTCCCATTGCAACTAGAATGAGTAATCTTTCTTTTAATTTTATATTATTAAAAAAATGTAAACATAATAGGAAAGTAGAATAGTATAATGAACTTGGTACATCCATCATTCAGATTCAACAATTATTAGGATTCTGCTATATTTGTTTCCTTTTACCCATTTTATTTTTCTTTGTTGAAGTATTTTATTTATTTATTTATTTATTTTTTTTTTTGTTGAAGTATTTTAAAGGAAATTCCAGACATTATGCCATTTCACCTAGCATAGTCTTAAAAAAAAAAAAAAGACACTTCAAATGTAGCCTAATGCCATTATCTCACACCATCCTAAATTAATTCTGATTCCTTGATTTTATCTAGCAGGAATTGGCAGACTTCTGGATCTCTGATCTGTTTTTATATGGCCTGCAAGCAGAGAATGGTTTTTACATTTTAAAAGAAATACTAAAAAGTAAGCCAAAAAGAAAAACAAGTGATAGAATTGTATGTGCCCCACAAAGCCTAAAATGTTTCCTGTCTAGCCCCTTTAACCTCCTGATTTGATAGAATAAGTGATCTTTCAAAATGCATATCTGAGTTTTCCACTCTGCCTAAAACTCCTCTGAATCAAGCCTGGACTCCTTAGTATGATGGGCAGACCTTGCTGCAGCCCTTATTTTTGCCCACCTATCCAGTTGTGCCTGCCATCATCTGTTCCATATGTCCAGAGCATGGTGAACACCAACCCTTTACACCTGCTCTTCTGTCTGCTGGAACTAGCCCTTTCTTCCTGAAGCTTTTCCTAGTTCTTCGAAGCAGAGTATGTCCCTTCCCCTTCTTCCCTCATCCATGCTTTATGTCTGCCATTATTATCATATGTTGGTTATATTCCTGCCAGACTCTTCTACTAGTTTGCATGTCTCCTAGTACTATCATGTTTTTGAGCTTTTCTGCTTGTGTTTTTGACTGACCTTTTCTTAGTCATCAATTTTCTTTAGTCAATTCATAATATTAATTCCATTGCCGACCATCTGCTTTCAGTGAAGATGCACATGTATATTACCCTGTTTTGATTTCAGTCATTAAGAGGATTGGGTGGACTACATCAGATGATAGGAAAATCTGCCTCTCCCCAAGCAGAGGAGGTTAAGCAGGGCTAGAACAGGGAGACTCCTGGAGTCTGCCTAGGCCAG